TCAGAACATTGTGCAGACACTCCATGCTACTGTCACTCTACAAGACTTGTTTCTCTAAGAAAAGGCAGCTGCTGCCCAGTTATGATCCACATGTCCTGTCTGATTCATCGGATGCACTCACTGCCCAGCCACACACTCACACACAATGTGCTTGGGAGTTGGTAGCAGGAGGCTCAGGAGCATGCATGAGGCCTTGGGTTTGATCCCAGCACACAGGAAGGAGGGAAGGGAGGGAAAGAGGGAAGGAGCAGTAGGAGGAAGGGCGGGAGGGAGGGAGGGCACGCAAGCAGGCCAAGAGCTGGAGATAGAGCTGAGTCATGGAATACTTGCCTAGCGTGTGAGGGAGGCCCTAGGTCAATCCCCAGTACTTATAGGGTAGGGAGCTAAAACAGAAAAGCTTAAACCAATCAAGAAAAAAGTTGGGAAAAAATATTAAGTGAGAAAAGTGATAAACATTTGAAAAACGCTTAAAATCCATATAATAATATATATTAAAATCCCATGATGTGATTTTCCCAGAAAAAAATGAATTAACAAAACTGACTCAAGATGAATCAACGAAGTTGAATAAACCAATAATTATGGGGAGAAAACTGTAAAAGTCACCAAAGAATTATTTCAAAGACGACGCCAGGCCTGGCTGGTTAGGGCTCGCTCGTTCCTGCACTCATGGAACGGATAATTCCCATGTGTGTTCCCGAAGTTGGAAAGTGCTTCAACTTACTTCATAAAATTAACTTAGCTTTAAACCAGGCACTGATAGCTCACGCCTACAATCCCAGCACTCAAGAGGCTGAGACAGGGGGACTGCTCCAACTCCAAGCCCAGCATGTGCTACATAATAAATTTGAGTCCAGTCTGGGTCTCAGTGTGAGACCTTGCCTTTAAAACAAATAACAAAAATTTAAGTTTAAAAAGTAGCTTAGCCTTGATTGTAAAGCTGACAAAACCAGAGAACTGTAGACAAATTTCACTCATGAATACAGGGAAAATTCCTAAATAAAATATTAACAAGTGATCCTAACAAAAATTTTAATAACCTACTCTGAACAATGAAGCATAGTCTAGAAATTCTATGACTGTCACTATCAGAAGTTAATAAAGGAAAGAAGAAAAATCATTGCCAGGTGTGGCCCATGCCTACAAATCCCAGCACTCCTAGCACTCAAGAAACAGGCCAGTTTGGGCTACTGAGAAACCCCCCTCCAATAAATAAATAAAGTCTAGGGCTGGCAAGATGGCTCAGTGACGTAAAGGGGCTGGCCACCGAGCCTAATCACTTAAATTTGATCCCCAGATCCCTCACAGTAGAAGTGGAGAACGGACTCCTGAAAGCTGCCCTCTGATTTCCACACGTGTGCTGTGGCATGCATCCACCCATATGCGTACATACGTATATACACACACATAATAAAACTAATAAAAATTTTAAAACTTTTTTTTAAAGTTTTTTAAGACAGACTCTCCCTATAGTCCCAGCTGGCCTGGAACTCACTATATAGACCAGGCTGGCAACAATTTCACAGAGCTCTGCCTGCCTCTGCCTCCAGAGTGCTGGGCATGCCCCACTAGTCTTCATGACAGCACTGTGGAGGCTGATGCCTCAGGAGGCCATGAAGTTGAAACCAACTTGGGTAATCTATTGAGACAGGATTCCCAAAAAGAGACAAGGCCGAACACATAAAGAGAGACAAATGATTTACAAAAAGTTTAAAATATGCCAGGGGTGGTGGTACACACCTTCAATCCCAGCACTTTGGAGGCAAAGGCAGGGAGATATCTGTGAGTTCAAGGCCCGTCTGGTCTACATGGAGAGTTCCAGGTCAGCTGGAACTACAGGGAGATCCTGTCTCAAAACACTAAAAACAAAACAAAACAAAAAAAGCTTAAACTGTCTAGAAAAAAAGGCTAGCATGGTGGCATAGGCCTATACTCCTGGCTACTCTAGTAGGAGGATCACAAATCACAAGTTCAAACCCTACCTGGCTACTAAGTAAATCCAAGGCCAGCCTGAACAACTCATTGAGACACTGTCTTAAAATTTTTAAAAACTTTTTAAGAGACTGGGAGTTTAGATCCGTGGCAGAGTGCTTACACAGTACATTTGAGGCCCTCGGTTCAATTCCTAGTATAAAACAAAAACTAAACTAAACAAAAGCTACGAAGCTAAAATGCAAATGAAAAACCAGAAAAACATTTACAAACTATAAGAAAAAGACTAATAAGGCGGCACTGTGGTGGCACATGCCTTTAGTCGCTGGGGCTACAGGGAGACCCTGTCTCAAAAAAACCAAAAAAAAAAAAAAAGAAGAAGAAGAAAAATAATCCCTGTGGCTCCAGCTCTCCTGGAACTCACTGTGTAAACCAGGCTGGCCTTGAACTCACAGAGATCTGCCTGCCTCTGCCTCCCGAGTGCTGGGATTAAAGGTGTGTACCACGTGCCCAGCCTAAATTTATTTATATTTACTTTACTTTTTTTTTTTTCCCCCCTTTGGTCTTTTTGAGACAGGGTTTCCCTGTAGCCCCAGCTGGCCTGGAACTCACTATGTAGACCAGGCTGGCCTTGAACTCACAGAGATCCACCTGCCTCTGCTTCCCGAGTGCTGGGATTAAAGGCCTGAAACTCCATGCCTGGCTTATTTTTATATTTTTATGTGTATGAGTATATTGCCTGCATATAGGTAGGTGCACTCTTGTCATGCAATGCTTACAGAGATCAGAAGATGGCACTGGATCCCCTGGCTGTTCTTGCAGAGGACAGGGTTTGATTCCCAGCACCCATATAGTGGCTAACAACTGTGTGTGACTCCAATTCAAAGGGACCAATGCCCACTTCTGGACTCCATGGGTGCTCCACGCACATGGTGCACTTGCATACATGCAGGCAAAACACTCATACACAGAAAAATAAATTTTAAAAATTTTGATTAAAAATAAGGACTGGAGGGGCTGGAGAGATGGCCCAGCGGTTAAGAACACTGGTTGTTCTTGCAGAAGACCCAGTTCAAATCCCAACACCCACATGGCAGCTAACAACTATCCGTAACTCCAGTTCCAGGGAATCCGACAGTCTCTCTGTCCTCCACAGGCACTGAATGACATGGGTGCAATTACCTACACACAGGCAATACACACATACACATAAAATAAAATAAATAAATAATATTTTAAAAAAATTAATAAATAAGGACTGGAAGTGGTGCTAGGTTGTAGAGCACTTGTCTAGCATGCAAGAAACCCTGGATTCAAATTCTTGCACCTAAAAAAATACAATTTCCCTAGAGACAATCCAGTTGGTTCTCTCTTTCCACCTTAATTCTTTTGGCTATATATCTATTAATGGAATTGCTGGTTTACGTCCATGTAAAGGTGGAAAGAGAGAACCAACTCCAAGAGTGGATCTCTGACATCTATACATGCATTGGGACATGTGCATGTGTGCACATATGCACACGCAGACCATACAAATATGATAATGTCCACGAGTATATTTCCAACAACATAAAAAATACACTCTTTCAATCACAAAAAGCAGACTAGTGACTGAGAAAATAAAGACCACCTCAGAAGCCAGGCATGGTACTGCACGCCTGTTAATCCCAACACTTTGGAGGTAGAGACAGGAAGATTCGGAATTCAAGGTCACCCTCTGCTACACAGTGAGCCTAAGATAAGTCTAGACTACCCTGTATCAAAAAAGAGTATGTGTGCCTGGGTGTGGTAGTGCACACCTTTGATCCCAGCACTTTGGGAGGCAGGTGGAGCTCTGTAAGTTCAAGGCCAGGCTGGTCTACATAGTGAGTTCCAGGCCAGCTGAGGCTACAGGGGGACCCTGTCTCAAAAAGACCAAAAAAAAAAAAAAAAAAAAAAAAAAAAAGAAAAAAGAAAGAAAGAGTATGTGTAGGAGGTCTGGGGAGTTAGCTCAGTTAGTAAACTGCTTGCCACACAACCATGACCTAGCACCCACATGAAAAGCCTAGCATGGTAGCATGTGCCTGTAATACCAGCACTGAAGAGGCAGAGACAAGAGAATTTCAGGGGTTTGGTAACCAGTCTGGCCTAGTTCCAGGACCCAGTGAGAGACTTGTCTCAAAACAACATGGTGAATGCCTCCTGAGAAACAACCCCCAAGATTGACCTGTGACCACTACATGCATGTGCACACATGTGCAGACACACATGCACACCCAAGACCAACTCAATCAATCAAAACAGAAGAACAGGCACAGCCCTAGTGGATAAACCCTCCCGTGTCTCTGTATCCAGCAGAAAGCACAGCAGAGGAAACACAAGCACCTTTCAAGCAGCCCAACAGAAAGGCTGGGCTCTGAAAGAAAAGTCCTGGACTGCTGTAGTACCCTCGTGAGCCCCAAGACTCCCTGCCCCCACGTCTCACTTAGGCTAAGTCCACCTTCAAAAAATATTTTCTCGACAGCAGCTATCAAGAGAAAAAGGAGTCTTTCTTTCTAGGGCATTCAGCCACCACATATGGTACCGCTCTCAATAGAGGCTTTATAAGGAAGGGTCCAAAGCCCACAGGCACTGGTTGGACCACTGGCCACAAACAGCAAGGAACAGACGTGAGGATTTATATGTCCGGGTGGCAGAGGCACGCTCAATAATTCAGATGGAGCTGCTGTCACATGCCAACAGTCAGTAAGGCCTACTGAGCGCCTAGGAGACACAGCACCATTTGTAACCCTCTCCCAAACACACGTACATGTAGGCACACAGCTCCTGTGTCCTGTGCTAGGGCTCAGATGAGAAAGCTATGATTTCAGCTGGAGGCATCTGACAGCTTAATTCAACATATCACTTGTCTCCAGAGTGAGAACAGAGGCTGCACCCTGGTGGAGGCAGAGGGGAGTCCTCAAGCCTTCCTCCAGCTCTGCAGTCAGCCTCCGAGGGCCAGACGCACCTCGGTCAACTCCAGGACTAGCTGCCATGTCCACCCTGGCCCCACAGATGAATCCTGTCAGCCACCCCTGCCTCATACGTACTTTTGCCGCCATTGCTCTTCAGGACGTTGGAGAGGTTGACAGACGCAGTGCCTAGTAGCTCATTTCTCAAGGTGTGACAGCTCCAGACCTTCAGATCTAAATGACTCTGGGCTGTAACATTCCTGGGAAACAAATAATGAATTCATCACAGCCTACCTGATGGGTCAGTCACCCCTTTAACATGGAACACAACTGCTAAAAACTACACAGCTGACATCTTACAGGGAACCATCAAGAAGACACCAGGCTGACCTATATAACTCCTTAGCTAATAATGAGCACTCTGTGAGCTCAAGAAAGAAGAAACACCCAGACAGGGGCACCGTGGGGGCCCGAGGGCACCAGCACCTGTGCCCCCTTCCCCCCTACACACACGCTGCCTTTCCTCTAGCCCTTCCTCCTGTATTCCAAAAGCAACACCTTACAGGACAATGATTTCGTTCCAGAGAAGCTCGGAGCTCCCGATTCGCTTCCCGGTCTTCTTGGTCTCGCTGGGGAGTCCATCCACTGCCACTTCCACGTAAGAGTTAATCCGGGGCTGACGGTTGTGCACCTTGGGCTTTGCTGACACCACTGGATGGGATAGAAAGAAAAAGGACATGAGTCAGAGATGTGCCAGAGGCTCCCCAATGGCAGATGGTCTGGCTCTTTTTGGTGATTTGATTAAAAAAAATTGGGGTGGGGGTGGCTAGAGAGATGGCTGAGGTTAAGAGCACTGGCTGCTGTTGCAGAGAACCTGGGTTCATTTCCTAGCACCCACATGGTGGCTAACAACCATCTGTAACTCCACTTCCAAGAAATCCAATGCCCTCTTCTAGCCTCTGTGGGCATTGCACAACATGGGTGCACTTACATATATGTGAGCAGAAGACTCATACACATAAAATAAAAAAAATTTTTTTTGGTCTTTTTGAGACAGGGTCTCCCTGTAGTCAGTCCCAGCTGACCTGAACTCACTATGTAGACCAGGCTGGCCTCAAACTCACAGAGATCCACCTGCCTCTGCCTCCCAAGTGCTGGGACTAATGGTGTGCACCACCACACCCGGCAAAATAAATAAAATTTTTTTTTAGATATCATATGAATATTTATTAAAATAACAGTATATGAGTGATTTAAAATCAGAAAGATTTTAAATAAGATTAAGATAACAGATGCTCCCCAAAAGGTAGATGGAATCAATCAACAACAATTTTCTCTTGGTTCCACTGCATCTATATAAACAGAGATTTCTCTATACAAATTGTGAAATGAATGGCTTAGGGATTATAACCCCTTCACAATACAAAAATTTTAGGTTCATAAAATACTTAAATACTTCTTGATTGGGGGTTAAGAGATGGCTCCATGGTTAAGAGCACTGGCTGCTCTTGCAGAGCACCCGGGTTCTCCCAGCACCCACATGATGGCTAACAACCCTCTATAACTCCAGTTCCAGGGGATCCGACGTCCTCTTCTGATCTCCATGGGCTCTGCAGAACACGGGTGCATCTATCTACATGCAGGTAGTATACTTACACACAAAAAATAAAAAATAATAAATAAAATTTTTTTTTAAATACTTCTTGAAGCTGGGCATAGTGGTGCACACCTTTAATCCAGAGGCAGAGGCAGGTGGATCCTTGTGAGTTCAAGGCCAGCCTGGTCTACATAGTGAGTTCAGGTCAGCTGGGACTACAATGAGAGCCTGTCTCAAAAAGATAAAATAAATAAATAAATAAATAAATTCTTGATTGGTGAGATATTCCGTTTGCTAAGAGAAAGTTTAGTTCAAGTTCATCTAAAAAATCCCTGAGAAAAGAATGTATACTGAAGGTGGATCAGATCTCAGCATACACACCCTAATTTGAGAGAAGCACTAGCTACGGGCTTCCATGTTTCCAACCTTTAAACCAGTGAAAGAAAGGAAATCTAGGCTCTTCTGCTCAGCCTCTGCATTATCAGTAAACTCCCTGGTGGCAGCGGAAGCCGGGGTGGGCCCACTGAAATCCCAGAGGCCAGCATCACAATGGCGTTGGTCTACGACACTCCAAAACCTACTTGGACTACATAATTGATAAATCTCTGAATACAACACTGGTAATTGAGAGCCAATGAGAAATCTTTCTGTTCCAAAGCCTCCAACATCTGGTTTGTCTTTTTCCCCGGGACTTATAGGTACTGCCCGATGCTGCACTGGCTCCCATCATCAGACCACTCAACAGTTGCTCACCCACACCAAAGAGCTAAGCAAACTATCGTTGGTGATTCTGATCAACATGCTGCCCCATAAAATAAAACTTTTTAAAAAAGAAAAAATATTTGGTTTTTTTTGTTGTTTTTTTTTTTTTTTTTTTGAGACAGGGTCTCACTGTATAGCCCTGGTTGGCCTGACACTTGCTATGCAGCCAGGCTGGTCATGCATGAACTCACAGAGTTCTGCCTCCACCCTTCCACCCCACCCCCTGCACCTGCCTCTGCCCACCCAGTGCTGAGATTTAAAGGTGTGCACCACCATGCTGAACTTGAACTTTTCTTTTGAAATTAAACTTGCTCAGTTCCTCTGTAAGTTCTCACAGAATCCCATCAGTGCCTCAAAATACATCCATTTCACCACAGACTGCAGTCAGGAATGTTGTTTCTTACACGGCAAATCCGACAGATTTTGAAAAATAGTTTAAAGATAATCACTAAGATTCAACAGTTACTATAGACACTGCAGTATATACATTATCTAACTAGACCTTTGAAACAAATTCAGGCTGAGAAGAGAGGTCACTGAGGCTGGGTATGGTGACACAAACCTGCAATCCCAGCACTTGAAAGGAAGAGGCAGGGAAATCAATGCAAGTTTAAGGCTAGTTTGGTCTACACAGTGAGTTCCAGGCCAGTCAGGGATACTCTCACAAAACAAACAAAAGGTAGGGTAAGGTGACTTATGCCTGGAATCCCAGAACTTAGGGGGGCTGCAATAGGAGAATCATCTTAAGAGTCCAGCCTGGGCTACAGAGTGAGTTCCAGGTCAGCCTGGGCCAGATTGAGACCCTACCACAAAAAAAGGGGGAGGTGATGGAGAACTGGTTCACTGGTTGGGAGCACTGGTTGCTCTTGCAGAGGACCCAGGTTTGGTTCCCAGCACCCACATGGCATCTGACAACCACTTATAACTCCAGTTCCAAGGGATCTGATGCCCTCTTCTGGCCTCTGTGAGCACTGCACACATGTGGTGCACTTATATACGTACAGGCAGAACACTCATACACATAAAATAAAACTGAAATAAAAGAAAACCTTTTGAGGGGCTGCACTGGCTGTTCTTGCAGAGGACCCAGGTTCAATTCCCAGCACCCAAAATAACCCATGCATTACTCCGGTTCCAGGGGTATTGTGGGTATTGCATGACGCAGGTGCACTTATATAAATGCAGGCAATACACTCATATACATAAAAAAATAAAAATAATAAAATATTTTTAAAATAAAAATAAAAAAAAACTTTATGAAAAAGTGCAGCCAGGGAGCTGTGAGGCCGATGCACACGCGGTGCTCCAACTCCACGCCATGCTGGACTTCGCTCATCTGTTCTGAGCTTTTTATTTCATGGTTTGTTCATTTTATGTGTATGCATGTATTGCCTGCATGCAGGTGAGTGCGCCTGTGTCGTGCAATGCCCGCTGAGGTCAGAAGAGGTGGTTGGATCCCCTGGAACTGGAGTTATGGATAGTTGTTAGCTGCCATGTGGGTGCTGGGATTTGAACCAGGTCTTCTGCAAGAACAACCAGTGTTCTCAACCACTGAGCCATCTTGCCAGCCCCTTAATGTTTATTTTTATTGAATTTTTGTGCATTTCATACAAAACACTTTAATCTTTATAACCCTCCCACCACCTGGAAACCCCCAGAGCACACCCCATTGGATTTCATGCATTCTGTCATATATATTAAGGCCTATCAAGTCAAGTTAGTGTATACAGACATCTCAGTGCAAGTTCATCCACTAGGGTCTACTCAGCCTATCTAGAGTCCCTCCCTTAAAGAAGATCAGTTCTTCCTCACCCAGCAGTGATCAGCTGCTAATAGCTCCTCAGCTAAGGTTGGGACTGCTGCCCATTTCCCCAGTTCTGTGCTGGGTTTTTGTCTGTTTGGGTCTTGTGCATGCTGACAGCATTGCTGAGGTTCATATGAGCAAGGTCCCAGGAGCCTGTTGGACTCTGTTTCCATATGGTTCTGCACTGCCTCCCCTTTCTGCTTTTCTACAAGTACAGTTAAGGCTGAGTATTTTTCTTTTCTTTTTTTTTTTTGGTCTTTTTGGGACAGGGTCTCCCTATAGCCCACAGCCGGCCTGGAACTCACTATGTAGACCAGGCTGGCCTTGAACTCACAGAGCTCCACTTGCTTCTGCCTCCCAAGCGCTGGGATTAAAGGAGTGTGCCACCATTATATTTTTCTATGTGACAGCCATCTCTACTGCTTCTGTTTTTAGCCTTCATGCACATCTCCCTCCCTCCCTCCCTCCCTTCCTTCCTTGGTTTGAGACAGGGTCTTGCTATGCAGCCCAGGCTGACTTAGAACTGACTGTGTAGCTAAAGGAAGACTCCAACATGTGATCCTCTTGCCTCTGTCTCTGAGTATTGAAATGACAGGCATAGTCACCATGCTGGCACACAACAGCATTTCTGCTGTTTGTCACCAGCAAGCCCTTGAAGACTCACAGAGATAAAGCCAAGCAAATATTCCAAGGGACGAGATCCTGGCACCTATATGACCCATCCACATACCTTCCACCCTGTACCCAAATCAGAGGCTAGAACTGATGCTGTTTGCCCACAGTGACAAGACCAACCTTGCTTGTGGCCCCTCTGTTGAGAGTTAGCAAATCTTCTACCCAGACCCTTCAGTATGGTAACAGTCCTATGAAGGTCTACCACGTGGCAAAAGTCCCAGCTACCTCCAGGCTGTTTGAAGCAATAACTAAGACCAGAAGCACCAGTACGGAGGAAGTCAAGAAACAAAAACAACTGTGGCAAAGAAAGGTGGGACCGAGAATAAAGGTTTGTGGTGGAGAGACCTGAGTGGGAAAATACAGTGCTTTGCAAACACACTAAGGCTAGCTGGGGCCACCTAGTGGTGAGGGTGGAATACTGCATATCCTAACTTAATAGACTAGTTTTTGGGGGGAATGGTTTTGGTGTTTTTGAGACAGGGTCTCCCCTTTAGTAGGGGCTGGCCTGGAACTCACAATGATCCACCTGCCTCTGCCTCCCAAGTGCTGGGATTAAAGGCCTGTGCCACCGCACCCGGCTTTAATAGACTAGTTTTAATTAGTCCCTGACAATCTCTTTAAAATTGCTAAGTTGCCAGATGTGGTGGCGCACACCTTTAGTCTCAAGAGACAGGCAGATCTTTGTGAGTTTGAGGCTAGCCTGGTTTATATTGGAGGTCCAGGTTAGCTAGGGCTACATAGTGAGATGTCTCAAAAAAAAAATAAAATCAACAAGTTCAAATCCTTTATTTCAAAGTTGAACCATCTAAGATTCAGGAATGTGAGATAACTTGGCCAAAATCACAGTGCTAGCCAGAGGCAGGGCTAAGAGTAGAACCAGTTCTCCCTAGGCTGATTCTTTCAACTCTACAGGGCAGTGTTTTATTTTCTAGCTCTTTTTCCTGACTTTCATTGGTTTTTCTATTTCGTTTTGTTTGAGACAGGGTCTCGTGCAGCCAGACTAGCCTCCAACTTGCTGTGTAACTGAAGATGACTTTAAACCTCTAATCTTCCTGCCTCTATCTCTGGAGTTCTGGAACTGTAGGCGTGCACCCCTACACTGAATTTACTCAGTGCTGTGGACTGAACCCAGGGCATATATGCACTCTACCAACAGAGCTATATTCCCCAGCCCCAAACCAGTCTCTTACTAGAGAAACTGGTAAAAATAAAAGTCTAAGACCCTAGGTTCAATCATCAAACACAAAAAACAAAATAAAACACAAATTTAATGGGAGCTAGGTGTGGTGGTTCACACCTTTGATCCCAGTACTGAGGAGGCAGAGACAGGCAGATCTCTGTGGGTTCAAGGCTAGCCTGGTCCACATAGTGAGTTCTAGGTCAGCCAGGGCTGCATTGTGAGTTTTTATCTTAAGAAAGTAAAAATAAAAAAATAAAGTGTTGGGACTGGAGAGATGGCTCAGCAGTTAAGAGCACTGGCTGCTCTTGCAGAAGACCCTGGTTTGATTCCCAATACCAACATGGCAGATAGCAACCATCTGTAACGCCAGTTCCAGGGGCTCCAACACCCTCTTCGAACCTCTGTGGGCACTGCATGACACAGGTGCACTTACATGCAGGCAATACACACGTACACATAAAAAATAATAAATATTAAAAAAATAAAGTGTTAAAACAATGATAATGGCTGAGAAGAAAAAATATAAAGTAGGAAAGAGCCAGGCATGCTGGTGTACACCTTTAATCCCAGCACTCAGGAGGCAGAGGCAGGCAGATCTCTGTGCAATCAAGGCCAGCCTCGTCTACATAGCAAGTTTCATGCCTGCTAGGGCTACAGGGAGACCATGTCCCAAAAGACAACAAAAACAAAACAAAACAAAAAACATGGAGGGGAACATGGAGGAAGTCAGAGTGAGAAGTGGCTATAGATCAAGGAGGGGGAAGGCCTCGTTGTTGAAGGAGATCAGGCGAAAACAAGCTAAAAGCACTTTACTCAGGACATGGCAAGTGCCAAGGCCCAGAGGCAAACGCCTGACTGCTGAGTTCAGGAGAGCCATAAGGCAGCAGGAGCTCAGGTAGATAGGGTGCATGCAGAAACTAACAGGCCATGAGAAAGCATCAGCTTTGACTCTAAGAGAGATTTGGGTGATTTAAACAGAGGTGTGACAAGATCCAGCTTCCATTTTAACAAGGCAAGTGGCTGCGTGTGACCACTGCCTGAAGGAAGACGAAGGGGAGGGGACAAGTCAAGGAGGCCCAGTTCAGAGTAAAACTGATGGCGGCTGGGGATGACAGGGACAGGGGGGAGCGGGCGCTGGATACTGGATACCAGATTGGAGGGTGCAGGGAGTGCTAGATACTGGATACCAGATTGGAGGGTGCAGGGAGTGCTGGATACTGGATACCAGACTTGCTGACAAGTTGAATACAAGCTGAGAAAGTCAGGAGCTCAGTTCTGGACACGTGAAACTTCCCATGTTCACTAAACTCTCCAGTGGGGTGACAAGTGGGCTCCTAGATACACAAATCTGGAGCTCAAGGCTGGAGTTCCAAATCTGGAACGGACCTTTTACTTGACTCATTTAAAGCCAGGAGGCTGAATGGGACCATGCAGAGCGAGCATGTAAACAGAACAGAGCCCTGGGACACAACGGATCACACTTCAGACAATTTTAGTCTAAAGTTCCTTTTGTCCCCACCTTCTTCAAGTTATGTTCCTTCTTTTTCTAGAACTCCACCTACAATATGACAATCTTCTGAGGAGGACTGCTACGTTCCCAAGCTGTCACAGAGGATGGTGGCACATGCCTTTAATCCTAGTACTTGGGAGGCAGAGACAGGCAGATCTCTGTGGGTTCAAGGCCAGCCTGGTCTACATAGTGAGTTCCAGGACAGCTGGGGCTACAGGGAGACCCTGTCTCAAAAAGGACCAAAACCAAAACAAAACAAAACTAAGAAGATTGGGGCTCTCCAGACAGATGTGGTACAAGTCAAACTCCTGCCCACAGGCTGGACCTCAAACACAGCTACTTCCAGCAGGGCCACTCACCTTTCAGGGTAAGCTGTGACTTCTCAAAAGGCAGGGCCACGCCTGCCCGGCTGGAGCTGGCAGATGCCATGTCATCACCATGAAACTGCAAGAGAAACAGAGCCACGGGTTTAGACAATGGCGAGAAGATGGCTGGAGAACTCAACCCAAGGCTGAGTGTGATATGGGCCTGGAATCCCAGCACTTGGGAGACAGAGTACAAGGCCATCCTCAGTCACATGGCAAGTTAGGGGCTAGCCTGTGCTATAGAGATTGTCTCAAAAAACAGAATGTATTCAGTTTTAATATTTAAAAGACACAGAGATAAAGCCAGACTAAGTGGCTCAAGCAGAAGAATCAGATGGTCAAGGTCATTCTCAGCTGTTCAGTGAGTTTAAGGCCAGCCTGGGCTACATAAGACCCAGACTCCTTGGGGCTGGAGAGATGGCTCAGCGGTTAAGAGCACTGACTGCTCTTGCAGAGGACCCGGGTTCAATTCCCAGCACTCACATGGAAGCTACAAACCGTCCCTAACTCCAGTTCCAGGGGAATCCGAAGCTCTCTTCTGACCTCCACGGCATTGCACAACACGGGTACACTCACATACATGCAGGCAATACACTCATACACTCATACAGATGAAATAAAAATAAACAAAATATTAAAAAAAAAGACCCAGACTCCAAACAAACAAAAACACAGAGGCAAATGTATGTACACAGACCACACACACACACACACACACACACACACACACACACACCCAAACACCTGAAGCCAAGCTACTTCCCAGGGGTGGGCAAGTGGGCTGTCTGTCTGTTTTGTATTACCTCCTGAACCTGGAGGGGTCTTGGATGACCTAGAGTGGTCACGGGATTATTATCACAAGGTACTGAGGAGACAGAGTCCCATAGAATAGTTCCAAAAAGAAAGTCACAGCTAAACAATAAAAAGACAACTAAATCAATTTTTTTAAGTGTAAAAGATCTGATTGAATATTTCTCCAAAGATCCCAAGTAGCTAATACAGCATGAAAAGATGCTCCACAATCACCACGATCAGGTGTTCCTGTCGTTCCAGGGTGGGAAACAGAGCTGGCCTGGCACTCTGAATGGAGCTCTCATTCAAATGTAATTGTTGGAACATCATCATTTGTCATTTGGAAAATATTGGTTCCGTGAGCTGTGCAGATATTCTAAATGTTAATACATTTCATTATACAATATATATAAAAAAAATCCCATTTGTGAATGTCACTACCAAGCTCGTCAGACAATTCTCCAAACTGAAAGCTGTCGAACCATTGTGGTGGTAGATGCAAGTTGTCCAAAATTCTAATGTTCGTTTAAGAACTATTTGTTATTGGCAACAAATACTGTCAGTTGTTCTTAAGAGTATCAGGTTCACTTCATTCAGCTTGAAGAACATGTCTGCCAAGCACTCAAATCTAGTCACTTCAATTTGTTTCTCAGATGTTTTCTGAAGGAAAAATGCTATTTTGGGGGGGGGGGAAGCAACGAACTTAGCTCTCAATTCAAACAACTGCACAAGTGCTTGTCCTCAGCACAATCTTTACAGCTCAAAGTGCAGCAGATATACATTTTAACACACAGAATATATTTTCAAGTGTTTGAGATAGTTCAGCGGGTGAAATATGTGCCACACAAACCTGGGGAGCTGAGTTCCATACCAGGAGCCCACATGATGGAACAGAGTTGACTGCATAAAAATGTCCTCTGCCCTCCACATGTGCCCTGTGGCAGGAGCATACCCCACCCCCATCATGTATACACATACAATAATAATGAACAGGGGCTGAAGAGCCGGCTCGATGGTTGGGAGCACTTGCAACTGCTGCAGAGGAGGACCAGAGTTTAGTTCCCAGCACCAACATCTGGCGGCTCACAGTTGTCTGTAACTCTAGCTCCAGGGCATTCACGGCCCTCTTCTGGCCTCTGGGGGCACCTGCATGCATGTGCAGATACATCCACACAGACACATGCAGACATATAAATAAAAAAAATTTTTTTTTAACTAAAATAAATAGCTGGACATGGTGGTGCACACCTTTAGTCCCAGCACTCAGGAGGCAGAGGCAGGCAGATCTCTGTGAGTTCAAGGCCAGCCTTGTCTACAGAGTGAGTTCCAGGACAGCTGGGGCTACAGGGAGACCATCTCAAAAAGACCAAAACAAAAACCAAAAAAAGCCACTAAAACAAATTTTAAGGTGTCAAGACCTAATGAAGAAGAAAAAGGAAAAATAAGTGTCAAGACTTAATAAAATGCATGTGTTTTATTGTTTCAGTCCCCAGGGTTCTGAACTAAAGCTGACTTCTTTTTACCCAGACTGTGTCAGGGAAACAAGGATCAAGTCAGCAGTATCTTTGCCACAGCATCAGCAGCTCTGCCCATCTTTGCCCATCTTTGCTTTTGCACCATCAGTGCCAACGTGATCATGGCAAAAAAGGAGTGACAGAGCAGTGTTCTTATGAAAGAGTTCTGACCAAATAGTCTCAGAGATTTCTAGAGGTTTGAGGAGAAAGTGCTGCTATAAAAATATCATAAGGGTTGAGTGTAGTGTCGCACACCTGTAATCCCAACCATGCAAAGGCTGAGGCAGGAGGATCACTGTGAGTTCAAGGCCAGTCTGGGCTACACAGCAAGACCCAGTCTCTCTCTCCCTCTCTCTCTTTCACACACACATACATACACACACACACAAACATGAAAAAAACTCGAAAACAAAAAACAGTGTAAGGGCTACATGTGCTGGCCACACCTATAGTCACAGTAGCACTCCAGAGGCCAAGGCATGAGGATCACAGGTTCGAGGCCAGCCTAGCTACATCATAAAACCCTGTCTCAAAAACAAAAAACAATAAAGCATCACACCATCAAACCAAGGCCACGCTCATGCTGGGCAAGCACTCTGCCAGGGCTACACCCTGACCCTGGACATGTTGCTGTCAGTGGAAAACTCTGAAATGTTCTTTGCAGAAAAAAGAAGACAATATTCTTAAGTTCAAGATCTCAGGAGCCCTCCATCACTCACCCAGTCCCTCCCCACCTACAAGGGCTGAGGGCAGCACCTGACATAACCTAGGGCTCTCTCTTCTCTGGCTTCTAGGACCCCACAACTTTCTAGAGTTTTTTGGCTTTTTAAAGTGGTGTTTCTAAAATGGACTGTTACGCCACCCTTGAAAGATGTAATGCAGTTCATATGCAGAACTCCCAAACTGGTGGGGGCAGGGCAGGAGGAGAGAGAAGGAGAAAGGAGGGGGGAGAAGGGGGGAGAGAGAGAAAAGCAAGTGCAGCCTGAATGCAGTAAGATACACTGGTGAACACCTGAACTTTTTTTTTTAATATATTTTTATTTTTATTTTATGTGTATAAGTGTATTGCTTACATGTATGTGAGTGCACCCATGTCATACAATGCCACGGAGGTCAGACGAGGGCTTCAGATTCCCCCGGAACTGGAGTTAAGGACAGTTTGTAGCCACCATGTGGGTGCTGGGAATCAAACCCAGGTGCTCCCAACCGCTGAGCTATCTCTCCAGCCCCACACCTGAACTTCTATAGAGCAGTTGTGTGTATTGCTGGGGACACACAGCCATAAAACCGAAAAGCTTGGGAAAGAGTTACCCTGGCCAGAACAGAAGTTCCTCTGTGCAGGATGGGAGGGAGGGAGGAGGGAACTAGAAGCAGCAAAGACCAGGGAAACTTCAACTGTACTGGCAACATTTTATCTTTTCAACCAAGCTCTGAAGCAAATCTAGCAAAATGTCCAGGTTCATTAAATCCAGGTAGCAGGGATTTTTTGTTGTTGTTGCTTTAGGGTTTGGTTTGGGTTTGGTTTTGCTTGTTTTGGGGGTTTGGTTTTCGGTGGCACTAGAAACTGAAACTAGGGCCTCCTGTGTGTTAGGCAAGCACTCTACCACTGTGCTACATCCTCAGTCCAAGATCATAATTTCTATGACATTTGTTATCTTGGTCTCTGAACCATTTTGCATGTTTGACCGTTTATATAAGTGAGCAACAATTTTTAAAATATTTTACTTATTATTTTTATTTTACATGTATGAGTGTATTGCCTGCGTGTATGTGAGTGTACTGCCTGCGTGTATGAGTGTACCTGTCATGCAGTGCCCACAGAGGGCAGAAAAACGTTTTGGATTCCCCGGAACTGGAGTTACAGATGGTTGTTAGCCACCATATGGGTGCTAGGAACTGAACCTGGGTCCTCTGCAAGAGCAGACAGTGGTCTTAAGTGCTGAACCATCTCTCCAGCCCCATGAACAGCAATTTTAAGGGGGGGGGTGTTAATATCTCGAATAATGAAGGAAAAAATAATGATCATAAATTGAGCTCTGGGGGTTAGTGCTTTAACATGGTTAAAAAGCTGGAAATCCACTGTTCATGGACTTTAAAAACAAGAGTATTTTACAAATCTATTTGTCTATTAGGATTCTTTCTTTCTAAGGCAATTCCACCAAGGGTAGTTTTTGAACCCGCTCCTTCGCCTGAGTTTTGGCCAGTTTTGGCCTTTGGTTCAAACTTACAGAATGAGACCTGGAGCCCCACGTGGCCATGTTAAGCAGGAGAAGAACCAAATGTCCTGACCTACAACTTACAGCCCCAAAGCAAAATCAATGGGATAAAGTCTAAAGGCTCAGAACAAAGCTGACAGAGGCAGGAGAAAAAGAAAAGGCAGAGCACGCCGTCGTGTGCGTGTGCTCTTCGGCGCCCTCCATAATTACAGCCCGCTGTTTATGAACCGTAATCCCTGTTATTACACGGAGCTTTGTCTGCAGTTCCAGATCCGATTAGCCAGATACCGCCCTGCCATTACAAGGTAAGCTGTGCAAATTGCAAAACCTTTCTGATCTGCCTATCAAGAAAAATAACCACAACTCGGAAGAGAAGATAGACATCAACCAGGTCTGCTGGGCAGGGAGAGGGTGCTCACACCTGTCATTCAAGCAGATTGGAGGCTGAGATAGTTTGAGGCCAGCCTGGGCTACACAGTGGGTTTAAGAGCAACCTAAGCTACACAAGACTGTGTCAAAAGAGAAAGAAAGCAAAAGAGAGAGAAAGAGAGCTCAAC